AGAAAGAAAAAGAAAACAGAGACCCTCTGACAAGCAGGTCGATGCATTCGCGAAGGCGCTTTATTAAAATACACGAAGCCCGACCCCGGGTTCTATCGCGGCACTTGGTCAAAGGGATCCTCCGCAATGGTCGTCGTCGTCGGCATCGCCGTTTTTTCACATTCTTTATCGTTCACTGTTTGCATCGAAATTAGAGTTTCTCTCTTGCCACCCTCCACTGTCCGACGCTCGGTCTCCGAAAGTTCACCGTTCGCCTCTGACCAACTTCCCTCTCCGCTATTCTCAATTTACTTTTTCTCCACCCTCTTCCATCCTTCTTCTTCCGCCCTTTCTCCTCGTGGCGCACTTTTGAGTTTCGCCCTGCAGCCAGCACGCCCCCGTTCCAGCCACACTGTAACGACTCTCGAACGAGGCCGGCCCGAGTATCGTTTACGACCCTGCGAATTTTCCCGGGGGTTATTACTCGCCGAGGGAGGAGAAGAAGAGAAAAATTTAGGACCGCGTCGCAAGCCCGTTCATGATTATCGAGCGTGCGTAAAAAGGAAGCGTAAAAGGGCCGCGGAACGAATGTCCCTCGCTCGAAATTTCCCTTCCTCGGCGTGGAACACCTCTCGACGAAGGGTCGCTTAAATATTCTCTTTGTACCTTTCGGCGATTTCGAATCAACTTTCGAAGAAGTTTGCAGGGTAACGCGGAGCCTCGGCCTGGATAACGATGATTGCTTCTCGCGAGCGGAAAGCTTGTTGATAGAGAGAAGAGCGATTCAATTTCCACAGCTGTATTTTACGATATTTGAAAAATTTTATATTATCGTCGTTATGCGCGTATATCTTTCGGCGGGAAATAGACAGCTGCCGGTTGTCGGTTAGGTTGAAGAGGAACAGAAAGGTTTTCGGCGACCAATGAGAATCTCGTTGCAAATGTCAACGGCGTGGGAGAGGATACGCGGGGCACGTATTTGAAGCGTAAATTCTGCAGAGAGTTTGCGGCATTAAGATGGCGCGTGACTCGTACCTTCCAATGGCGACTGTTACCGAATAATTGCTGTCATTCGTGAACAGATATCGCGGTGATTCGTGTCCCGAATGAATTTCGAAGGGATTGCCACCGACCACTGGGTGAACGTTCGTCTTATTAACGTGACAAATCCCCGAGGTCGGTCGTAATTAAACGAAGAAAAAAAAAAAAGAAAGGAAAAAGGTCGTTGAAACGAAACGCACCGCGGCCTCGACTCTCTCTCTAATTGCGTTAATTGCGTTCAGCTAAGGGTCGAAAAGTCGACAGACAAGTTTTCAGCCCCCGGGACTCGAGCGGCGAGAAATTAGATCGAGATTCGTGAATGACACTCGACTCGATTTTTCTAAAAGTGTTTCTCGTTGAATTGATGGAATTACTTTCGTTTTCCTCGTTTTTCATGCTATTTTCTTTTTTCTTCCTTTTTTTTTCGCAGGCCGCGCTCTTGGTGCTTTCCCCTTTTATTCGTTTCGAAAGGTTATGTTTGCTTCTTTTTCACCGAGGTTTTATCGGTTTCATACACAGCGGTCATAGGTAAAAAACTCGATTTGTTTGACAACCGGCCCGGCACACGTGAGCGCAAAAGTGATCGTGACAAGCATTCACCTACGTTCCACTGGAATCACCTGTACGAGTGTCCATAGAGATACGCGTGAACAGGTGATACCTCGGCGAAGATGAAAGCGTTCGATATGATTCTCGCGGGTGGTCGTCGTTCGAAGCGTCGAAAAAAAGAAACAGGAAAACAGACACTTTTAATAACTCCTCTTTGCGATATCTTCGAAAGTAGATCCGGAGAAGTTGGAAAGTTTCACTTTGGAGAAAACTATCCCCGAATGATCTTACAAAACGATCCTCGTAAAACTACTTCACCCGATCTATACTTTGCCCGCAATATCTGCCGGTAGCTTGCTGAAACTTATGTCGGTAAAAATATCAAGAAGCTTCCGCAACAGCCAACCGCTAATTTGGAAGAAAAATGGAAAATTATACGGTAACGAAGATCTAAGACAGGCTGGCGTCGACAAAAGGCGCGCCTCTATATTGGAATAGCGGTTTTTTCCCTCGCTGGTATATAAAGGCCGGTTCTCAGCGTCGCGGCAGCAGTTAAGCCTGACTTTGAACCAGTGCCAGGGATTTCAATCGAGGCCGCAAGCGGCGCGAGCTTTTTCTCCAGACCGTTTAAAGGCCAATATAGCGCTCGGTAGTCTACCTTTGCGCGCCAGCCAGAAAGCTGACGGTTCTTTTTTTTTCTCTTTCTCCTTTTTCGCAATCGAGCGCGATTCGCTTTTCACGATCCATCGTCCAACGTCGCGACGAGCTTTCGGCCAGTGTTTTCAGCCTCTGATGTGCCGATATGTATATAGACGAACGTTCGGTAGAATGCTCGTACGAGATATAATGGAATATGGTAAATGCAACGAAGGAAGATCCTGGAAACTTCCTGACGGAAGTTTGCCGGTCGAAACCGTGGATTAACCGAATTCAACTACCGCTTTAATCTATCTCGATATGACGTTCCTTCGGACGTCCGCGTCCCTTTGATCCTTTCGATAAATTGAATCAGCTCGATTGTGGAGATCGATACCGCGCTGGAAAACAATCTCTGTGTAATTTTATATTAGTCGCTTTGGCTATTTACTTAGAACTGAGATTAATCCACTCGAGGCCAGCGAATTTTCGAAAGTCGGTCTAAAATTTTGTTTTTCTCTGTATTGAAAATTGAGGAAAGAAAAGGTGCTTGGGAAGTGAAAAATAAACGTTGTAGACATTTTTCGTACGAATCAGACCATGTGCGTCTACACTCATCTTGTGGTCCTAGCTTGAAACCAACGTAGGTTTCAATATCTACAGAGCTTCAACTTTCATTTTCTTTAAAAATCATCTTATTTCCATGATTACTTCGGTAATAACACAATATGAATCCACGATCGCCCTCGAATGTGTCAATGTCTGATCGTCGACGGGTCTATTCTACTTAAAGATTCGTCGTGATGTGAAAAACAGAGGACGAAAAATTGACGTTTGTAAATTATACCGTAGTACTTAAGGTCACCAGAGCCATCGAGGAGAGTAAAAGGAATAATTAGTGTCTGCTTAGCGAGGGAGTTATTTGATTAAACGTAATTTTTCGCTGTTTCAAAGGGAAAATAATCAGTGAAATTTCGAACTCGACCCAACGAGCCTGAATGATCTTCCACTTTTCGTCGACTTACTTAATTCCCCGACGTAAAGACCACCGGAGCTTTACTCCCGCCGCTTGTTACGTAATTATGCGAGCAACCGTTCCCCGGGAGGAAATAAAAAAGGAAAAGAAAAACGACTGGACCGGCGAGTAATCCGTGCAACTTGGCCAATGTCTTCCGAGCAGTTTCCGCGAGTGCTGTTAGGGTAGCGTCTTTGAGCATTCAGACACTGCCAAGCGACGATAACGAGGTGAAAAGAAAGCTGAAATAGAGGAGAGCCTGTGAAAACTGGCTGCCTAAAACTGGCTGGTTGAAATTGAACGCTTCGTGGCTGAAGCTACGAACCTCCGATGAATTTCTCTCCGAACCATTTTATCGAAAGAAGAAACAGAGTTTTCTCTGCGATTTTCACTCAAGCTCGAATAAATCTAATTCGATACTCTCTCACGTGAGATAGAATAGAGACTGCTTACGCAGTTGCCTTTTGAAAAGCTATTTACACTGTATCGAGTACAATGACACCTTAAACTCGTCTCTGAATAAAATTCACCTCGCCGAGAAGAGAATCTGCTCTTTCACGTACAATAACCTCGAATGAAAGAGCGGCGATCGAACAATAGGGAAGAAGAGAGCGAACCGTGGGGGCTGGTCCAAGGCCAATTCATCGACGACAATCGCGCGAGGAGTTGTTACAGTGTCGTTTCCTCCACGGACCATGTAGAAAGGTAAAAACGAGGAAAAGTGGCGCTTTCGCACAACCGAGCGTTCTCGAGCGTTGCCAAGGAAATGAAAAAGGAGCGGCGTGAGGAAGGACGAGCGGGATCGAGGGAGGGCAACCAGTTTAACCCAGAAATCCTCGAAAGTGCATAAGCTTTGTCGTGGAATGAGCTTAGTTAGGAGAACGTTAGCCCAGCCGAGCGTAAAATACGGTCGTAATAATGTTTGTTCATAGCATTTCTGATGCAGCCGGGGTTGCGCAGCGTGTCGTTGCGTCCTTCTTTCTCTCCCTGGCGAAACCTGCTCGTTCCCTCTATTGTGCTTCAGCCACTTGTGGAGCATCCGATGGCTCGCGGCCCATTGACGGGCGGAAATTTGAAAGATTCGCTGCTCGTGGTGGTCGTACCACTTGGTCGTTTCTCTCTTGCGCCGCGGGACCACTGAAAATCTCCTTCATAATTCTTCCCGCAACCTTGGATTTGCTCCTTCCAATTTTATTTCTCTAATTCTTTTTTTTTAACGCATGTATATATTAGAGAGAGAAGAATAACTTTTCAAAGGTTTGCTTAATGTTTTCACTCCTTGTGATCGTATAAAAATTAACATGGCATCTTCTACGCTCCACCACCAGAGGGACGGGACGTTGACCTTTCTCGCTAGTGCTCGCTAAGGCTCCTATTAGTATATATACAACTTTTAACCTGAGTCTAATAGTCCCTAGTGCCTCTTAGGTTAATGTGGGTTTTTTAGAAATTGGTAAAAAGGATCCAGCGAGGGTATCCCTAACCACACCCCTATCATCCTGCCAGTCCTTTCACTAACGACATTAGGAAAAAAAGTCTAATCGTCCCCCGTATCTAAAACACCAAACGAGTCCCTAGGAGGAAACGCACCTTTCTTTCTCTTTCCTATTCTGTCTGTGTTTTCTTTCTATTTGTTTCCGTCCATAACCAACCACCGCGAAGGTTTCATTCCTTCACGACCGTATTATTAGATTTTCAAAAGCGTTGTATGTAGCAATGACTCGTGACTTTCATCTAGAATTGTGATCCATAGTAAGAGTACGATAAATACGATTTACAGGTAGCGTGGATCCACGTGGGTCGTCAGATGTTATTGACCATCCACAAACACGTAGTGGTGAAGATTCCAAGGTTCTCGGTGTCTCACGACAACCAGAAGACCTGGCTGCTTCACATCAGCAACGTGCAGCAAGACGATCGGGGATACTACATGTGCCAACTGAACACGAACCCGATGATGAGCCAGGTTGGCTTCCTTCAAGTTGTCGGTAAGCATATTTAATCTTCTTTCGCCGGCTTTCGACGTCCAGCTGTGCGTGTGGTTATTGAATGTTACGCTCGAAAGGCGCGCACAACCGAGCATCTTAACGAGAGAATCCGTCGTTAAAAACGATCAACGAAGAAACCACTTTATCAAAGCTTCTTGTTCGTTTTTCTCAACGTCTACGCGATTCTATGTCGTTCTTAAGCTTTCTCAAGATTTCTTTCTTTCTCTCCCTCTCTCTCTCTCTCAAGTTCCACCGAATATATTGGACTCATTGTCCACCGAGAGCACCGTGGCTGTCCGTGAGAACCAGAACATCACGCTGACGTGCAAAGCGGACGGATATCCGACGCCGAAGCTGATGTGGAAGCGCGAAGATGGCGAGAACATAAGCATCAATCGACACTACAAAGGTGAGCGTGTACAATTTTCACAATTTCTCCGGCAATTTTTCAAAAGCTGCTGCGAAAGAAATATACCATCGCGTGAGTTTCGCTTTCTCTCTCTCTCCCTCTCTCTCTCTCTCTTTAGAAAGAGAAATTCTGAAATTCTTAAATTACACACACTTTTTCATATTTCGCAACGGACGAAAATGATTCTCGAGTTTCCACTCGAGTTGACCGGTTCTTTAACTTTTCCAATTAACGAAAATCGCTGGAAAACGCAGGGAATTCCTGGCCGGATACAGTGTACTTATTCGAGCGCGATTCTGCGAGAACGATTCCTCGAATATTCGCGTTGCCACGCTCTGTCCCAATTAACGTAAATCGAACAGAATCGGGAGCTGTTGTACGCGTTTTCAAAGCACCGTTTCCATTCGGAATCGTTTATAAAATACAGAAATCACCACTTGGAGTACACTTGGTGCCAGGGACAAAACTGCGAAGCTTCCTAGAGAGAGAGAGATGGAGACACTCTCTGGACGCTTTAAATTTATTTAACAGAACTGAAAATTCTCCGTGGAAATAACAATCCAACTTCCTCCCGGTTTATACCGTTTCGAAAAGAGCAATTTCCGGTTCTCCAGCAGAAGAACACGTCTGATCACACGTTGGTAGAGAAACGTAGCCAACATTCTGGACGTTCTCCGGTGCAATCAGAAATTCGAACAATCAAGCATCCAGGTTGGTTCTACTAATAAACGTTAAAACTGGAAACGGCGGACAGATGCTCGATTTCCGGTGATTAAACCTCCGAGTCAAACGTGACGTTAAAAGCGGCCAGAAGCGACGTACCGTGAGAAACGTAGGTGTAATCAATTGGGAAACGAAAGAGAAAGCGTGGAGAAAATAATGCACCGGAAACGGGAGCGTTCCGTTACTTTTGTCGTCGTGCATCCTCTCTTCTCATCGATTTTGCACGTCAAACAACGAAGCTCGCGGTAGTGTTTCCGGTAATTTCCCTAATACAACAGGACACGTAAATCCATTCTCGTCCCCGGTATTGTTAGTAATGTGGTAATTACTCGTTTGCATGCTCACCACACACGCTTAACTTACTCTCTCTCTTTCTCTCTCTGTCTGTCCCTTGTCTCCGTTGTTCACGTGACTACTGTCGAATAAAACAAAGGCCTGTACGGATATTTCTGTCGCCGTGGCTCGTTACATCGTTATCGGGGAGGGTAGCATTGTCCACGGCGTCATAGCTTCGAACGGGACGTGGTTGTTAATGCACACGGTGTCTCGTAATTATGAACATCGCATTGTAATTATTGACTGGAACAACGACCACCTATCCGTTGCTTTTCTTAATGGACTGTTAACGTACCTTTCATTCGAGATACTTTAACGATATCTGTTTTTCTTTATTGTAGTATCGGGGCCTCCATACCCAAATAGGAAACTGACAAGGGAGTGGTTGGCGTAGCGCGCAAAGCCTCGGCTTTTGCTAAGCCGAAGGTCCCGGATTCGATTCCCATTGGGTCCCTCAATATTTCTCCCTAGGTTCCTACACAATACTCAAATTTAAATATTCAAATTTTAAAAATTCTAAAATTAGTCAATGAAATTTCAATAATTCGAGATTTAAATTCAAGCTACTGTAGTATCGGGGCCTCCATACCCAAATAGGAAACCTCGAAGGGACAATAGAGAGGGAGTGGTTGGCGTAGCGCGCAAAGCCTCGGCTTTTGCTAAGCCGAAGGTCCCGGGTTCGATTCCCGTTGGGTCCCTCGATATTTCTCCCTAGGTTCCTACAAATGGGGGCTCGTCCAGGATGGAGGAAACTACGGCTGCACGAAGCCAGGAGGTGTGCGATGAAAACATGTTGAGGAGTTGCACGTCTCCCAAAAATGCGTTGTTTCGGTTGTGTACCACTGTGTGGGGGAGTGTGTCCGAAAGTGTTGAGCAGTGTTGCACTGAGGACACTCGAGGGCGAATGACAGTTCAGGATGGCCGAGTGTAGTATCGAGGCCTCCATGCCCAAAAATAGGAAACCTCGAAGGGACAATAGAGAGGGAGTGGTTGGCGTAGCGCGCAAAGCCTCGGCTTGCTAGCCCGAAGGTCCCGGGTTCGATTCCCGTTGGGTCCCTCGATATTTTTTCCTAGGTTCCTACACAATACTCAAATTTAAATATTCCAATTTTAAAAATTCTAAAATTAGTCAATGAAATTTCAATAATTCGAGATTTAAATTCAAAATACTGTAGTATCGGGGCCTCCATACCCAAATAGTAAACCTCGAAGGGAGAATAGAGAGGGTGTAGCGCGCAAAGCCTCGGCTTGCTAGCCCAAAAGTCCCGGGTTCGATTCCCGTTGGGTCCCTCAATATTATTCCCTAGGTTCCTACATTATCAAAACGTGTCAATAGAGTTTCATAGAGTACTATTTCGATCAATTTCGACGGTTGTAATTGGAGATCGAGTTGTATTTTCGAAAGCGTGGAATATTATCGGGGAACGTACCGGAGGGCAGAATTCATCGGTAAATGTAAGTGAATAATACGTCGGAAGTATTTGCTTGTTGATAAAACACCGGTTGACGAGCAGTCAGAAGCAACGAACATAAATTGTACGGATTAGAATCAACCGAAAGCTGATGAATATTCCACGAACACGTGATCCTATTTGGCGCGAAAATGCGTTTAATAACGAACGTTTTGTAGATGGACGCGCGATACGCGCATACGTTGCATAAAGTTATCGGGGCGAAGCGCGGTCGTCGAAACGACCCGGGGAAAATTGTGAATTAATTCGCAGATATGTTTACGCGATAGGAGACAGCGTAATTTCTAATATATCTGTCGCGGGGTGTGCACCACCCCTGCGATCTCGCATGACGCTTGTTCATTTTTAAAGCGGCACGCACTATGGCCGCGCGCCAGATTTCACCGACCAACAGGGCGTATAAATTTTTATCAAGATTTTTTTTTCTCCATTTCCCTCTCTCTCTCTCTCTCTCTCTCGGTTTTTCGTTCGCGCTCGCGTGTGTTGTGGCAGAAATTTTCGTTCGTTATTTGCGTTATTCTTTATTCACACGGTTTGTTATACGCATTGTACGCGATTTGTCGTTTGCAGGAAGACAATCGCGGAACGATTATTCACGGTGAGCGGCGTTACGGACAAAGGGACGGAATATAAAATGAATTTGATCGAATTTTTGCCGACGAAATACGTGGAAAATTGCACCGACGACGCGACGTTTCGTTATAAAGCTCGTTCATTAATGATCGCGGTTTTGCGTGTTCATTCATCGAACCAACGAACGAACGATGGGCTGCTAAGTCATCGCTGCCAGTCTTTTCTTTCGATACACGTTAACAACCTTCTCTTTTACGGTCGCAATGGAAATTGTTTTTCTCGAATATTCTTGCTTCAGATTAGACACGATGTGTGTTAGATTAAACGTAAAAACGAATTCAGGAGAATTTCACACCACCGTCGCGGTGTTCATATCTGACGTTACGTCCTTATCGGCTTTGCGATAAACTTCGATCAACTTTCGTCTAATTTCAAATGAAATTATTTGGGCAATTGATCGAACTGATCCAATAAGTGCATATTTGTTTTTTGAAATTCATCCAATTAGTACTATAGGGTAA